TATAATAATTATTATGATGTAGGTATGACCAGAAGAGCCCCGACCATGCTATACTGGTGTTTGGTGACTCTGGTGGAGGTGTGGGGTCCTTTGAGTTCACCTCAGCTACTTCCTGTCTCTTCCCCAACACCAACACCTCTCGCAATCAAGGTGGGTGTGGCCTCCTCGGCCAATACACTCCTGCTTGTAAAAGTGTTCTTTCAAATTTAGGATCCTAGGTTGTAAATTCACTTGACTCCTTTCAAAATTCTGGAAAATATTGGACCCCACACAACAATGATTGATGCACACAACATTAATTAAGTTTGCCTTTGTTAAGTTTGTTTCCAAGGGGTTTCTGCCCGCAATTACAATTCACATCTCTAACAGATGTTCCAGTCATCACGTTCTCAGAGCTAATTCACTACCGAATGAAATCAACTGTCGCCACATACCTCCCCGGTATCCATGGCGACTGGGTGATGGAGGTCATGTACTGTCCAGCCATGGAGCTGGTCATGTCGGCCAGCAACGACTCTGGATGCTCCCTCCATCTCGTGGACTGCCACGGGAGGAAGGAAGGCATTGTTTTCTCCGTGAGGAAAGGAGTTTCTTCGTTTGACTACAGCAAAGAGCTCAACGTTATTGGTATGTCATTACGCATTCTTCGTTGGCAGATTGCCCAGGACGAGATCTCTAACAATCTTTTCTCCTTTCCTTAACTCTCCTAATCTGTGTCTCTCGTGCCCCAGCTACAGGAGGTCTGGATAGGATCCTCAGACTGTGGAACCCCTACATCCCTGCCAAGCCAACCACTCTCTTGAAAGGACACACCAGCTCAATCGTACATGTTGTTCTCCACTCCAAATATGGAGAGGTGGGCGCTGACAATATTACTGTGTAGTTAAGGTTTGCCCTTTTTATTGAATTTCACACATCTCCTGAGCTTCCCTTGTAGCTCAGTTAGTAGAGTGCTCACCTAGAGAGTAGAGTGTCGTGGGTTTGAATCCCACCTAGGGCAGTTCTTATCTTTTCCTAGTTACCCTTGGTGTCCCTTTGCCTCGCGGCCTTGTCGGTGCTAATTTAGTGCTGACCATGCAGGTCCTCAGTTTCTCTCGGGACCTGGAGCTGCGAGTGTGGAGCGTGCAGGACCAGGTGTGTCTACAGGTCTGCCACAGGTTCCAGGATCTCCTCCCCCACCCTCCCTCTGCCTTCTGCCTCCACCCCAGGACCGGGGTTCTCTTCGTGGGAACCAACCAGGTCTGAGAGACAGGCTCGATTTTGTGTCTGTATTAGATTCTTGTAGTGTTAAAAGCAATCCTTGTTGGGTACTAACTAGAGCCACAAAAATTTTGATGCAGTTAATTTGAGTAAAAAATGAATGTCACAGGTTGAGATCTATAATAACATCCTCTTTTGTTCACTATTACATGTCATGTTAGTTTTTCCTACTCCCTGTCTTTACACACCCTCTCCTCAACCTCTTCCACCACGAAGCTGGGAGTGTTGGAGCCGTGTAGAGATGAGGAACTGACGACGGATGTGGCGGGAAGGAAAGCAGGCAAGACACTGAGTCATGAGAGACCGCTCACAGCCGCTCTCTTACAACTCCCAGTTCAATCAGGTCACATTATATCAATACCATTTTACATCAGAACATCCGTAATTTCCCCTAGCAATGCGGGTTTAATATTATAATGTACTTCATACAGAAACGATGAGAAAATGTAACAAAATGTATATACATGTAAACATCGCCTGTCACTAGACCCAGTCATGCCAGAAGTAATATTGTGGTCACGTCTCTCCAGGTGGTAAGTGGTTGTCAAGGGGGTGTGGTTAGCGTCTGGGACCTAGACACTGGAGAAAAGACCATGCAGTTTTCCCGTTGCCATGGTGACATGGAGCTGACTGCCATGACCTTTGACCCCAGTGGGCGGAGACTGATAACAGGAGGTCGGGATGGGAGTTTGAAGATCTGGAACTTTAACAATGGAGCTTGTCTGAATGTGCTCGAGAGCAGGTTCACACTCGAGGTCATTCCAATACTCTCATAATTACATCGCCATGCCCTCGGGCAACCATATATACCCCTTTCCCATACTTTCATACTGTCATAAATCCATTCTACATACTGTCGTACTCTCATTCTCTTGTTCCACAGGTGACATCACTGTGTTTCCTAAAGCAGAGGATCTTTGTTGGTGGTTGGAACCAAATGATCTCTGCCTACAGGTACAGACCACTTCACATTCCCCCATATGAATCTGCTTGGCACAAAACAGCAGAATAGGTCATTTTTGCAAAAAACGGTGTGTAACTTAATACCATGTATCTCCATACAGTGACACCAGAGATTCAGACGGGACTGTTCCAAAGTGTTTTGGAAGGGGAGAGCACCGCGAAGACATTCTCAGTCTAGCAGGTCAGGAGCCCAACGTTCTGGCGTCGGCCAGCTACGACGGAGACATCCTCCTCTGGAACATCGACAGTGAGAGATGTGTGGGGAGACTCAATGCTGGTTGCCCCAAGAAACGAAGACCACGCCCAGTATTTGGGTGAGGACGTATTATTATGACACTACACAGAATTTCAATAAAGGTTGTCGCCTTTTGTACGACCATTTTGCTCCATTTTATATTCAGAGTGTTGGTTCCACTACATCCTATGCAGATGTACAGGCAAGAGACATGTTGGTATGGCCTACCTATCAACCAGCAAAAACACATTGGCCAGTGAAGCTCTTCCCTCCAGAGACAAAGACGAGAGAGCAATTGAAAAGGTCTCTTTAGTTGTTTGTAGTTTTCTTTTTCCACGTATCTCACTATTCCCTATTCCCTCGTCCATTCTTCCCTCGTCTGCTCTTCCCTCGTCCGCCACTCACTTGTCCGCTCTTCCCTCGTCCGCCACTCGCTCGTCCGCTCTTCCCTCGTCCGCCACTCGCTCGTCCGCTCTTCCCTCGTCCGCCACTCACTTGTCCGCTCTTCCCTCGTCCGCCACTCGCTCGTCCGCTCTTCCCTCGTCCGCCACTCACTCGTCCGCTCTTCCCTCGTCCGCCACTCACTCGTCCGCTCTTCCCTCGTCCGCCACTCACTTGTCCGCTCTTCCCTCGTCCGCCACTCGCTTGTCCGCTCTTCCCTCGTCCGCCACTCGCTTGTCCGCTCTTCCCTCGTCCGCCACTCACTTGTCCGCTCTTCCCTCGTCCGCCACTCGCTTGTCCGCTCTTCCCTCGTCCGCCACTCACTTGTCCGCTCTTCCCTCGTCCGCCACTCGCTTGTCCGCTCTTCCCTCGTCCGCCACTCGCTTGTCCGCTCTTCCCTCGTCCGCCACTCACTTGTCCGCTCTTCCCTCGTCCGCCACTCGCTTGTCCGCTCTTCCCTCGTCCGCCACTCACTTGTCCGCTCTTCCCTCGTCCGCCACTCACTTGTCCGCTCTTCCCTCATCCGCCACTCGCTCGTCCGCTCTTCCCTTGTTCCGCCACTCGCTCGTCCGCCACTCGATCGTCCTCGTCTGCCACTCACGCATCCCTTTCCCCAGCTCTCTACCATTCGCGCATCCCTTTCCCCAGCTCTCTACCACTCGCGCATCCCTTTCGCCAGCTCTCTACCACTCGCGCATCCCTTTCCCCAGCTCTCTACCATTCGCGCATCCCTTTCCCCAGCTCTCTACCACTCGCGCATCCCTTTCCCCAGCTCTCTACCACTCGCGCATCCCTTTCCCCAGCTCTCTACCACTCGCGCATCCCTTTCCCCAGCTCTCTACCACTCGCGCATCCCTTTCCCCAGCTCTCTACCATTCGCGCATCCCTTTCCCCAGCTCTCTACCATTCACACATCCCTTTCCCCTTCTCGCTACCATTCCTCTTTTCGCATTTCTATTCCTTATTATACTTATTTCCCTTTCCCCTTCTCGCTACCATTCCTCTTTTCGCATTTCTATTCCTTATTATACTTATTTCCCTTTCCCCTTCTCGCTACCATTCACACATCCCTTTCCCCTTCTCGCTACCATTCCTCTTTTCGCATTTCTATTCCTTATTATACTTATTTCCCTTCCCCCTTCTTTCCCAGCTGGTGTTCCTGAAGCTCCGAGAGCCGTCTCCTACAGTGGGCTCTCTGGTGGCCTGTGGTGCCGGAGGCTGGGTACAGTTCTGGAACACGACAGGAGGTGGACTGATTGGAGAGTACAATGTCTGGGACACTAGGAGACACACTCTCCCACTGGCAGAGAGGGGCCTCCATTCCGTGACAGCTCTTCATGTGAATGAGACCGAGACGGCTCTGTACACTGGCAACTCCCTGGGCTACATACAGGTATGTAGATTCATAGTGGAATGCATTTTGGCAAGCCAGCACAAGCAGTTGAATTTTCTCTTATGTATGTAGATCATTATGGTATGTACAGTGCCCATTGCCCGTCACGCATTCAGACAGACGTCTAGTTAGGCTCACTTCACTAAAGTACACTCATGTGTAGTAAAGTACTTTGCTTAAACATCTCGCAGGTGTGGGACATTTGTGACTACTGCCTTGACAGTGGCTGCAGAAAAACCACACCCACTGTCAAAGAGACTACACCGCCTCTCAAGTTGGCATGGCGATCGCATCTATTGTCCGTCGTTTCAATAGATATGGCCGAGGAAGTGGGTGTGGTTATAACGGCTTCAACTGACTGCACAGTACGACTTTGGACTCTGAAGGGATTCTATATCGGTATGAGATAATCAGTGTGTGACCCTAAAATTTTTACTTTGACAGAATGTGTGAAATTTTTGCCCTTCATTTTGTTGCGTCATAAAAGCTCGGTAGAATGAAAAAGTCAATAGCATGTTTAAAAAATTTCTCCTAAAAACTACAGGGACTTTCGGACAGAGAGTCGCCTGGCAGTTCCCTCTGCCTCCCCCAGGCCCCCGGGGGCCAAATATCTTCCTCCTCATCCCCCCAGACCTCCAACGCTCCTCTTCAATTGAGACGCTCCACACAATCTCTGGAGCCGTCAAATCAAAATGGATGTGAGTTCTGTCGAATTTCAAATTCCAATCGACACAATTCAGATTCTGCTCCATCCACAGCCTGGCGAAAAACCTGCTCAGAATTCTCCGAACAATAGGACCCTCAGGTACCCCAGGTCACTATGACGACCAGACTCCACCCCTCGAGGATGTGTTGGGTCGTTGTTACAAGCGACGGACAAGGGTGCGACGGTTGATAGAGCGACAACCTCTGAGACAGAGAGAGTTCAGAACCTTTCCCATCTACACTTCGCTCACCTGTCCTGAAATAACTGATTCTCCACCGGTACGTATAGGGCCGTTATAGGTTTAGCTATCAGTGATTAAGTGAACGAATAACTTTATAAGGCAAAATTTTACGCCATGTAATGTAAGCGTCATATGAGTATCATGTGATAGTCTCTCCTCAATAATACAGATACCACCACCTGCCAGAGTACAGCCGGTGAGTGGAGGCTTCCCGAGTGGGGTAAAAGGTCATCTTGTGACTCCACCCACTAGTGGGGCAGGGCCAAAGGAAGGAGGCCACACCCACACAGAGGCTAGCCTGCTGCAAGGAGTTTGGCAACGACAGAGGAGAATGACTGCCACATGATAGTCACATGAAAGTTACGCAATCGCTCATCATTTTTCTGACTCAAAGTTGAAGCAATAATAATTGTGGTATTAATAATAGAGAAACACGTCAGAAAGAAAATGCAAGTAGAAAGAATGATTACAAAATTATGACATCGTGATGACATAGCGCAGTTAATTACATTGTTGCTCTGACGACGCTCTCAAATACCTGAGCCCGTGCGTCGAGTCCAGCATTCCTCAGGTTTGACAACATCTGCAGATTCACACGTATGTAGTTCATTCATTCTGTATTTACCGCGGAACCCCTTTCTAATAAAACCCCCTGAAAATGGACACCTAAGGAGAACTTTTCTTTCTCCAAGAACAGTTCTTGCATGCATGCAATTCAACCCATGAAATACGAAAACCTCACTAATATGGACACTTTCTTCTGTCCCATTGGTGTCTGGACTGTGGTCTCACCTGGTCACTGTATTTGTTGGCATATCTGAGCAGCTCGTAGAGAGCACTCTCCACTACAAATCCTCCCGTCTTTCTGAACACCTGTGCCTGGTGCTACGGACACAGAGAGAAGCTAGGTTTTCACTATTACTGAGTTACAACAGTTTAAAAGGCACCGGGGCAACACAGGGCACGATATTTCACACTGATGCACACATGGTATTACCTCTGATAACTGTTTGAGGTAAGACTGCATCACGTCCTCAGGGATTCGAGGTAACCTAGCAACATTCTGGTAGTACTGTCGGACTTTGACCTTGTATTCCTGCACCTCCTTGTTGTACAAGAGTTTACTGGTGGGCGAGTCCTGTACAGGGGGAGGGGCTTTGTTAATTAGGGGGCGTGATTATGGGTGTGGCTTACAATAGTGAGTTTCACGTCAGCGTATGAGCACCCATCAATGAATGCCTGCAAACAAACAATGTCATAATAGGATTGGTAACCGATTAATGCAAACTATACCACATGAAAGTATTAGACATAAACACTATACCACATCAACCTAATATGTAATTCGTCTCATTGTGTCGCGGTGGTAGTTTAGCGAGCACACTTAAAAACATAAATTTGAGCTGCTTTACCTAAGCAAATTTACACCCTGCCAAGTACAGCTAGGGAATAATCAAAGGGCGCAAATATTCTCATTTACATTATGACAGCAGTAAAAGATGAGATAGCACCGTACCCCAGCAATGACAGAGAGACAGGCATCCACTGTGTGACTTTTGTTGACGTCAAACACAAACTCTGGGTTCTTCATCACGTTGACCCAGAATCTCAGCGCCAGGGCATTGTTCTTCCACGTGTGGACCACGTCCTTCTCTGAGATCTGGGCCGCTTCTGCCGAGTCGTCTAGGAAATCCAGGAGATATTTGACTGCCATTGGTACCGCGCTTCCTGGAGCATAGGATATTGGAGGCTGGGGGGATAGGGAGAGAGGAGAGAGAGGGAAGGAAAAATTTAATCAATTAATTAGGAGATAGAAAAAGAAAGAACCAGCTACTGCCAGGAGTCAAAATAATGCATAGAGTGACGGGAATTCTAGTGCACCGAGCAATGGACAACTCCAATACATAAAGCTGTTCTTTGCCAGTTTCTTCCCCATTCAAAGTAAGAGCAGTTAGATGTCTTTTTCTGGTGATTTCACTCTGTGTTACGTACGTACCTGTGTTCCAGGGGATGTTGGGAAGAAGTTGGCGTAAGCTACGGGGGAGGTGGGAGAGACTTGGACACTGAAGAGACTAGAGAACAGATCACTGACAAACTTCTGGAGGATGTTCTGTTGAGAGACAGCATGAAATGAAATATTAATAGTGGTTAAAAATCAGTGTTTGGTTGGGCTTGTAAGTTTGAATCCTTTTTCTACGAATATTTTTACGTCTCACAACAAGAGAACAACTGCATCCACAGTAATCTACGCCTAACTCTACAGTAAGGTTACTATTTGTGACTAGGTACATAAGAGGGCTCCGCCTAGACTGCAAAGTATGGAGAGTTTGAATCATCCCACCCAGGGCAGGTTCCCTGGACCTCTTCAAATTGCCTTTCCCTCGAGGTCTCGTCGGTGTTTTCGAGTTTCAGGAGAATTCCTACTTACTTTGGTAGAGAGCATTCTTGGGAGATAGACTTCAGTGATCATCTTCTTGTTCATGAACGGCGACCTCTTGGGGTCCTCTGTGTCGTGCTGCTTGAACAGATGCCAGACTCTGGTTCCGTCCTCGGCCTCTGACAGGGCTCTGTTCCGTACCGCGTGGCTGGAGATCAGGGAGGCCGGGTAGTCGTACGCTGGAGACAGAGAGAGATAGGCAGACATACACATGATCAATAACCTCTTGAATTTGAATTTCATTTCATTAGATGCTCATTCAAAAGATGCTCAACTATGAAACGATGCACAGACACATTCTCAACTACAAACTCTTTGGGTGCTATCACATTCGGCAAAAGTTAAAACTCTCAGTTTAAATGTTTACCATAATGTTCAGCCCTAGCCAACATGGTTCAGCTAAAATATTAAACTTGCTTGAACCACGTAACACTCTCTATTTTCAAAAGATGCTCAACAGGTGCCTGGATTAGAATTCAAAATCAACTCACTTCTCCCCGGCGGTGCTCGGCCGTTTCTCTTCATGAGTCTGAAGGCTGCGCCGTCCTCTACACCATAGTGCTGCAGAGTGTTGAGTTTCTTCCATACTCCATCCATCACCGTCGTTGTGTCCTCATCTCTCAGAATGCTGTAGTCTCGAGGACTCGTAATTTGCTCTGGGGAATATAAAGAAATATGGAAACACCTAACTTCCCCCCACTCTCACAGAGCAATGACAGAAAAACCGTAAACCATCTCAATGGTTTCTCCAGTTTTTTTTGACTGATTTCTTTGTCCCTTTAGTATCTCAAATCCAATGAAAAACCATCTCTAATTCCACCATTTTTACCTAAACCATATCCCATGATCTCTGTTACTCACCAAGGTCAATGGTGGTAAGAGAAGGTCGATGTGAGACAGGCGTTGCCTTGTAGATGGCGTCTAGTAGCTTCTCCTTGACCTGACTGATGGTGTCACAGCTGAGGACCTTTACCGGGACACGTAGGCCGTCGTCCGCTTCCACCGTCACCGAGAGGACCTCCACGTCCATCTTCTGACGTATCAACTTGTGCTCACTCAGGGAATAGCTGAGAGAGAAGTGGCATTTGACAGGCGAAGGGGTTTGTGAATTGCTATATTATATCTACCTACAGATAGCTCAAGGTTCCGTCAGAAAACCCTAATTCATTCTATGTTCTAAAATGGTCGCACTAGGTGTAATTGCTAGCCAACAAGTGTTCCTTTACCGCGCCTCTCCAGTGATGACGTCAATAGGTCCCTTCTCCAGTTGGCTCTTCACTGCACGGTACAACAGGTACTGTGGCTTCCCTGATTGCTCCTATACCATAACCACATTACTGAACTGTACATTCACACCAACAGCAAGTAAAAGTTAAATGCGAAATTTAGTAAACTGAAAGCTCATTCATTACAATTATCATCATGAAAAACTCCAGTAAACAGTTTTCATCATTGTGAGTTCCATCCACTTTCCAATCATCAAAATTTGAAATAGGGAGTCGGTACATAACACTATGTATCCATGGAAACAGAAAGTACCGCTCTGTATCCACGGAGACAAAACGTACCACAATGTATTCATGGAGACAGAAGTGGAGCCAGTTTGTCAACATCTTCTCGGCGACTGACTCGGTGCGACGGAGGAGTAGCTTAGGACTCGACTTGTTGATGGCCTTTGTGATGAGATCATACAACAACGTCTTTAGAATCCTGCGGGGAGAGAGGGGGCGGAGGGTTACCGATGGCAACGGTAATCGCTGTGGAAACGTACTCTGTGGCATAGTCGAGTCGGTTGTGAAGGGCGACCATGAGGAGGGATCCGACAAGGGATTTGTCTCTGATGCTGAAATTCCTCTGCTCTTCAAGTGTCCTGATGAACAACAGCAGAACCTGCAGTGGTAGAAAAGAGAGATATCCCAACTCACAAAGTTTTTCTAATCATCACAACTTCACGTTTTTTTGTAGTGCATGTTTCACACCTTTACGGCAATTTGCTAGGATTTGCCATCCATGAGCATGAAATTTCCAAAATTGAAAAAGTTAGTTCCCATTAATTTAGGACTTATACGTGCCCAGAACATGACAGTGATGAAAGAAGCCGTCGACAAACCTTTTTGTCCATGCAGAGATCATGGAAATCCTTGATGGCTTTCTGAGAAGATATCTGTCTCTGAATGGGCAGCTGCACCGGGTGGAGGACAGCGTGGTCCTTATACCCTGGGAATAGTGCCGACAGCAGGTACACCTGCCCAGTGAGGAGAGGGTTAAATCATTGATCATTGTGGCAATGTGACATATTATTATGTTTGTCCCAAAAAGAAGAACCACTTAATTCTCCTCCACACAAACATAAAGTAACATACAGACTGTACAAAGCATTATAAACTGTCTGAGATGTCATGTGACTATGGTGTGATAGTCAGCTGACCTTGAGGTCTCTGTAGGGTAGCCGGTGGCCGGATAAGTCTCCAGTCAGTTCGTCAAGATCTGTCTGGAGCTCTGCAAACCCTGAGGAGGAGGAGGAGCAGGGAGGGGAGGTGGAGAGAAAAGTTCTTAGATACCGTGCAAAGAAAACTTTGTGAATTTCCCTGTTTTATAACATTGTGATTAGATTTTTCACGAATAGGATTTTACTCATGCCAGAGGACAATTGCTTTTAAGGGATTCGTAAAAGTTGTTTGTTGTCAAAGTTTTTGTAACAGTTCAGCGAAAGTTTAATCCTTTATTCTTGAGCTTTTACAAAGAGTTACAGTTTAGAGAGGGCTTTAGGTTTTGGAGAGGGTCAATCAATCTCACCAAGTTTGCACTCCCTGGCAACGGTTGACTCTAGTTTCTCCATCTCCACAATGAGCTCCTTGTACCGACTGTCCTTCTGTCGCCCCCGGTAACAGACAACCAGGAGAATAACAACTATCACCACGACGATGATGAGGAACGTGACGACAATGGGGACGATGAACACCACGGGGTTGATAGGTCCGGTGATGTCGATGCTCCCCACAGTCTGGTTGTAGCTGCCGATGTGAGCAGTTACTGTTAGTGTTGATCCCCTCCTCAGACCATTGGTTGTTCCCACCAGACATGTCAGGGACTAGAGGCAAGGAGAGAGAGAGAGAGAGAGAGTAGTTCTATAAACTAAGAGTGGCAGTGAATATTTGAGACAGAGGGGGGAGAGAATATTATCTCACTGAATTTCCAGGTTGGAAAGTCACGTCTTCACACACACACTCTTCTCTGCTACATGGAGTAATCAGTACCTCCACCATCTCCTCCGTGAATTCAAACCTTCCTCCCTACAGAACACAATTACATCATCATTACATCACAACAACCACAATCATTACATAATAACAATGACGTCATAATTGCATCATTTCATGTACCTGTGAGTCTATAGTAAGACGTATGTTGTCGGTGTTAGAAAAAGATTGTTTGCCAAAGTTCTGAAAGCTAGGGTTGGAGTGGAGGGTGACTGTGTAGTTGTCAAGACGAAGGAGAGAGTCAACCCCATCCAGCTCCAGTCCCAGCACCGCCAGGAGTTGTCGGGTGGAGAAGAGGGCGGGGTCGATGGGCGGAGCCTGACACATCATTCTCGTGCCTCCGGAATCAGTTGTACAAGGCTAAAGGGAGAGAGAGAGAAAAGTGCCGTAATTTAAAACAATGTTTGAAGACAGGCTTTTACATTTAGCAAACACACTTAATTTTCCCGTCATAAAACCACAAGATTTCTCAGAAATGTAGAACCCATTTCTGACATCTTACTTTGGACTTAAAAATGTCCACAGTTTGCCTCCTCTTCCTCCTATTCCCAGACTGGTCATTACTGGTAGTGATGTGGATGAGGAGGCGTGGCTCCTGGATGATGTCAAAGTCCTGTCCCAGTACCACGTACTCTGTTCCGCCTCTGTGTGGAATGGAATGGAGACATGGGACTTGCATAGAAGAGGGAGAAGAGAGAAGGATTAGGGGAAAGAAGAGGAGAGACATACGCAGCGAAGGAGAAGCGAGGGGAGATGCTGGCGACAGTTGGATCCTTCACGTACTCGTACTCGGTACCATCACCAAATTTACCAGACCAGTTGTCAATGGCAACGGAGACCACACCCCTTCCAATCACATCGGAAGCTCCGGAGAGACATGTGATCTCATCAACTGCCTTACTGTAAGGAGAACACACACATACTGCAGTGTACGAATCCAGAGCACAACTTGCATACGCCTACGTATTTAAACGGCAATAGTAAAAACAGAGAGTTCAAACTGAACTGAATTTATCAGGTTATGGGTAAAGAAGAGCAATGGCTGGTATAAGAACAAGGATAAAAAAATCCTGCGAATTTAAAAAAGTTTACAAACTACCACTGCAATCTGTATTAATGTAAATAGTGTTGTCAAAAGTACACTAATATTATATTATTTTACTACTGCTGGTCTTATCTTACGCTTTTTCGTAGCATTTCTGGCCAAAGAGAGTGACTCTCAAATTTGTTCCGATGTTGAGATTGTAGCCAGTGATAGTTACCATGGTTTTGCCTGCCTGGGGGCCCCTCACAGGGCTCAGACTATCAAGTGTTGGTACCTGGGAGAGAGAGAGAGAGACAAGGAGAGAAGGTTTAATGCTAGCAAAGTGTCGACCCCTGAAATAAGGACACCTCGCTAATATAGATAGGCATTAGAGGCAGGAAACACTCCAGGGTATTAGGAACACTGCATGTCTCAACAACTTGGTAGCAAGGTAGAAAGGCAAACAAGTCAACTACACCCAGGACAGCTCTTTCTTTTCAAACAAAAGAAGAAGAGTTGCCCTGGGTGGGATTCGAACCCACGACACTCTGCAGCATGTATGGCTGTGTTTCCTACTTAAATGAGTTGTAGTTATTTACCTCATAAGTAAAGGCGGAGCCGCGTCTGATCATGGTGAGATAGCCGAACTCTATTTCAACTTGGTAGGATCCTTTTCCTCCAACACTCCTCCCAGTCCGACACTGGAACCTACGTATTTCAGCAACAAAAACACATGTTGATTCCTAATTTTAGCAGAGGCGAAAAAAGCCGGTAACGATATACATATGTAACATGTACAAGCATGGAGTCCCACCACATCCCCATATATGGACTACCACATTCATACAAAACATTTGCGTGAGACTTTTGTCTCACAAAACATACAGGTGACCATGCAAAGTACTGATCAGTCCGACGTACTCGATCCCAGGTCGGTAGCTATCGTCTATGATCGCACACTCTGCTCCTGCGATGGTGACGTTTCTGATTTGGGAGCGAGTGATGGCCAGATTAGTTCCTCTTACTGTCACCACGGTACCGCCTTCAGTGGGCCCTGAACTCGGGGACACCTGAGGGGGGGGAACAGTTTCCTAACTGATAAGATCAGGACAACTCCTAACAGACTTGCAGTCTGGTGCTCTCAAAGGGTTAAAACTCACACTAATAATTTGAGGGAGTTCACAATCGCCGAGATCGTCGATGACGTCGTTGCATCGGTCGCCAAGGAGACATGAGAGTGGAGAGGTGGATTTGCAGTACTCACAGTCAAAGATACTGGGGATGGAGAGACACTGGGCGCAGTTGGTCCCGAGTCCGCCACAAGTGTACAGGGTGACTGGGGGAGCGGATTAGATAAAGAGTCAAAAGGAATGTAATTTCGTGGATAAAAATTGTTTAGTGCACGATACAAGCAGGCGGAACACACTCACTTCTGGTTAAGTGATGCATGAAAAATGTTTGTTGTTAGTTTAAGTTACAGTATATAGCTTATCAGCTATAATGATAGAAATACATATTACAGGAGAGAAAAAACCAGCTTCTGTCGGGATCGATTGGAAGTCCAGTGCGCCAGGCACTGAGCTCCCTGACGAAAGCTTCCCAACAAGAGTAACTGAAAGATAAACACTCACCCCCAGTTCTGTCAGGGTTATCAATGCTGACGTCATTGTCAATCCATTCCACTGCGAGCCTCGCTTCAAGACTGGCCATCCCATCAGCCAATGTGTAGTCAAACTACAAAAATAGTGACATCATCATTACATCATTGGAATGTGTGTCACAGTGCCAAATGAGAGAGGAGATAGGGAAACAATGCAGGTGATGTTGCAATGTAATTTGGCAACAAAGCCAAAAATGGGCATTACTGTTCATTTTGAAATTTGGCGAATATGCATCCGTTGATAGTGTTACATTGCGCACCAACTAGTGACAGACTTATCTAATGATGTAGTTGTTGATTCTCTCCCCCCTTCCCCCCTTCCTCACTCACCCTAGTTTCCACACATTCCACGTTGCCGTCGGTGTTCAACACAGCATCCGTCTTGAACAGAACTTCGGATCCATTTTTAATGACACAATTGAACCTGTTGCTAGAGAAACTATCACTGAATTGACCAAGATTCTCAGCCCTGATAACGAGAGGGGTTTCCCCATATGTGTAGTCAACATGAACGACGTAATTGTCATTGTCCAGTGGTGGGAGGAGTTTCGGACAAGACTCCATCACAGTCTGAAAGGGGTTAAAAATCAGTACTTAATAGTTTGGGAGTGTGTAACTTTCAAGAAAAGATTTTTAAGGTAATGTTGTGTGTCTTTTGTATTTTGAAAGTTTACGATGTGAAATTTACAATACAGTCCAAAAACTATTATTACATCATCATTACCTCATCAACCCCGGAGCATGAGTCGTTTATGGAGGAGATGCATTTGAAGGTGAACGGACACCAGTTACACTGACTATCACTATCAATACACGAGGTGCAGCTGGGATGGGGGGATAGGGGGGGATAGAGGAACAGTTTTAATTGATATACCGGCAGTGTAACAACAGTAATAATATACCGGAACATCTACAATAGACACTTTGAATAAAGGACACCTCTCAATACGACGGTTACCAAAGCTATTTATAGAGATGCTTCAAATATCTTTGGTTGTGGAGTTAGCCAGAAGCCATTGGCTTCAAACGAAGCTCTCTCTCACTCTCTCCTCTCTCTTCCTCCCTCCCACACTGCTCCACACACAGAGGCTGGCCAGGAAGCCATGTGTTACTGACTGGCTAATATGGCCTCTGTACTACAAGACTCCCACACCTCTGTAGTAAACTATGGCTGAAGTATCGCTGCCTCCCCTATTCACGTGTACAAACAAACGCAGTCCCCGGAATGATCTGGATACTAGTGTGCCAAATCAATCGCTCGCCTGCCAATACTATGTTCTTAGCACCGCTGTGCTTGCCACACGTGATTATCAATGCAAATTTGCTAGCAGAAATTACTCAATTTTTGGCTTAATAAGGCACACTACTCTCCATCTCTCTCTTTACCTTCCTCCTTTCTCTATTTCCTACATACTGTAGCTCCATATAGTCCCCCCATATGAAAATATTCATCCCCCCGCACATGTATGTATAATTATATACACACTGTCTTACTTGGTGTGTACTGAGCAGTTGGCAAATCTGATTGGATCGTCTAAAACTGCCACATTGTTCTCCTTGTAACGCAGGGAAAGCATGCTCTGCAGTGAATCTGATGATAAACAAAACAACACATTTTCATTTACATTTACAAAATTATTGTTTTCAGTATCACCCCCAAATATACCTCTGTTAGTTGGTATTTTTGGAACATTGTCGTAGCGAACTCGACATGTAAACATATCATTGTTTCTGGTTGCCGGTATCACCATGGTGACGGTGGAAGTGGTAGAATGTTGTTCAGATGTGCCGCTCTGGAAACCGTAGCAACACTCGTAGCTAACGTCTTCTGGGATATTGGCTGTTGTCAGTTGAATATCAACTTCCCCCATCTATAGGGTTAAATTATACATGACGGCAGCAAAGGGTTAAAATATTCTATAAACATCCCATCTTAAGTTAGATGTAACGATAAATGATATCAAAATATTTACTATCAACATCTTCCATCTACAGGGTTAACCCAATTACATTTGATGACAGCAAGGGGAAAATGTCAACATTTCCAATCTGGTGGTGGAGGGGTTAAAGTTTAATGAGCCCTGCCAAAACAGACTGATAATATCAAAACCAGCACAGACACCACGAAATTGAAATTGTATTTGACGTTCCTTGCTGTCCTAGTCTTTGTGGTTTTGCATTGAAATTTGATTATATATAGCATGGCTAGCCATGTTTGGAGACGAATTTGATTTTAGCATGGCTAGCCATGTTTGGAGACAAAATATCGCAGTATTGTTGGTAAGTACAGGCTGGCCTGCATATGCACCTGAAGTTCCTTGACATATATGATGGATGGATCCGCTGATGTGATGACTGGGCAGGATCCAATACTGTCAGACACCCATACCGCTGAACACTCGGACTGACGACTACACCTGGAGACAAACAGGGAGAACTGGTTCACTGCAACCTGTTTGAGAACTGGTCAAACCTGTTTTCCAGGGAGCACCATCCACAGATTGGGTCCCCACTTTCTCCGAGACAAGCGTTACACGAGGTGTATGTGTTGCAGACGTCTACTGTGATGGAGTAGAGCTAGAGACGGAGAGAGAGGGGGGGAGGGAGGAGAGAGAGGGGGGGAGGGAGAATATAAGAGAGAGGAGAGAAGGTGGACAGGGAAGAGGGAGAACATTGAGAAAAGTATGTGTAATTTCATAGCAGCATTTGCAGCGTCTATGTCCGCAGGGAATATTTCCAGTGTCGGTGGGTGGGGCTGGTGTCTCTAGCTTCGCTCTGACGAGTAGATCTCTCAGGTTTTTTGGTCGTCTGAATGCTATGGATTGCCACTGGTGGCATTCAGACGACCAAAAATGCAAATGCTGCTATGGAATTGTGACCACCAGCAGTTTCAGAAGCTACAACACAGGCAGACGATACAACATCAGAGCAAACATAACTTGCAAGTCAAGGAATCTAGTCTATATCTAATTTCATGCAAGAGATGTGGACTACAGTATGTTGGAGAAACAGAAAATCCCTTGCACATCAGAATGAATGGCCATCACTCTGACATACAAACAAAGAAGCTGGAGAAGCCTGTAGCAGCACACAGATAAAGGGTTAATTAATAGGCCTCAGTATGTAAAGGGATTTATTACATACCATACATGGGCCCCGTGAACAAAGGGTTAATCCACATAGTGCAAGGGCTATGTGCATAAAGGGTTAATTAATTGATCCATACTTTGTTAAGACTTGGTACATAAAGGAATATTCGTTCTTTAGTACATAACGGGTTAAATAAAAAATACCTTGCTGGGACTCAGAGCGTAAAGGGTTAATCCATCAGATGCCACTGTCATCTGAGTCACGTTGTTGGTTCCACTCATTTCTTCACTGCTGACAAGATTTATGGTGCGGATGGGGTTAATCGATGTACTGTTGACATAGTGATACTGTAGAAAGTAAACAAAAAATGTGCTTATCAAATGTAATAGTGAAACCAACAGTTACCTACGCACATTATACACGAAATTTATTTCGGAAAACTAGCCAAGTAGCCGTTTGAACGAGTTCATGCGCTAGTCCAGGAGCAAGGAAGTATAATATTACATTACATCATCATGACTGCGTGGCATGTGACCTACGCTTCGTTAACCAATCACATCAGTGGTTCGTGTGCAACTCTAGGACGCAACAGAGTAGTCTATAGAAGGCAACAAGTATATTAATAGGCAGACAGGCAAGAAGGGAATGAGCAGATAAAAGCCTTCTTATCAGCAAGGGAACAACAGAATAGGGCTTCATATCATCTAGCAAGCTACTTCTGAATAGAGAGCACTTAATGCACTACATTTGTAGTAAATCTAGAGTGAGGTTTATCGGTGTGTTTGCTTCGTGAGTAACATTCTACTACAGATCTGTGAGAACTCACAAACACCAACAGTACACACTCACTCAGGCACACTACTAGCCTACAACTTTAACTACCAGAAAAAACCCAAACATTCACGGCAACTACAGTACGTACGTCTAACGTCACTAAATGCCCATAGAACTAAAGGGACAAAGGTCTCATGATGGATCCTCGCAGCCAGCCATGTGTCACTGGTATAAGGAATGCTACTATCGTTTTACACCCTTCATACCAAGCCTTCAAGACAAGGGCTATATTTAGCCTATCTATAATTCCCTGAAGAAACTGGTTTACACAGTACATGCCTGCAATCTGATATCCTGCCATTTGCATAATACACTGACTTGAATACTAGCTGCGCATAAGGTGTACTTTATTTTTATATGACACTTGAAGCATCCAATATAATCATGCCTTCAACACATTATGCAGCATCTATTATTATGTACTTTTAGCTTACAGCTACCATTCCAAAGTTCATATCCTGAAGTAACATAAGAGGAACACACATAAATTTAGGGGATAATGATAAACTATTATTATAATAGCCCAGACAACAAACGAGGAGGATACTTACGACATACCTGGTAGATTTTCCCATTGTGTGTACCAGCAAACAGGTAGCGAACATTGTCGAGGGTGGAATGGATTAACGAGGTGAAATTGCCGTTACTCAGAGGAAGAGAGAATACAGGACCTGCTGATAGTGGATTCACAACTTCTTGAAATGGCAGGAGACTCGACACTAAATTACACTCTGTGATATGCTGCAGAGACAGATAGATAGAGGTTTGAGTATAGAGATCAGCAAGGTGTTAGAGAACATACGGTAGTGTTGAGACGCTCTGGATTGAAAAGCTCACATGGTTTTGTACCACTTCTGGCAAGTCCAGTGCTGCCCATTCCATATCTACAGTCGTTGTATTTCTGAGTCATGAGTTGATGAATGTCAAAGAGTTTGAAGACGCAGACCAAGCTCTGAGACTGGGCGGCAGAGAGCGTGATGGTCTGGTCTGATGGGAGGAAAGTGGCTGCAGTGGGAACAGACTCCGAGCCACCACACTCCAGTCTTATCTCAAAGTAGGACACAAACCCTCCATCAGCGACTGATGATGACGTGTCGTTGTTACACACCCTCACCACCCTTATTTCATCATCAGCACCTTGTTTAGTGACGAAATACGAAAAGCCATCGTTTTGAAATATCGTCAGAAATTCTCTGTCGTATAAAAAAAAAAAACTTTCTGTCTGTCGTGCGAATACGCTAAAGCCCTGACCACTGATTTCTCCCACATTGACGAGGTTGCCGCGTACAATCCGCGACACCTGCTCCCCGTTACGCTGTAGTCCGACAGTCAACACCGACGTGTCTTCTCGTCCGTGAACGAACAACCCTCCAGCATTCGTCATTCCGTCAACTAACAGAACGTTACTGACTTCCCAGTTGTGGCTGGCTATGTTATTGACATCCAGCAGAGAGCAGTTCGTCCGGAGACACGACAATACTCTCCCACTGTAGGTCCCCTCGGGGTCTCCCAGTAGCAGTCGACTCACTTGGCCCTCGGGCAGGAAAACCTCCCGCACTACAGACAGATCAGCGGCTGAAAGTCTCCGAAGAGACCTGTTGGAGCCGAGGACGAGCGATCCGGCCTCCGTCAGCAACACGTTGCGAAGCGTTTCGCCGTTTTGTGCAGCAAAGTTTGTGATGACGGCAAATACGGCGGGAAATGCGAGGAGACTAGCAATAGTCACAGAGAGAATAGCTCCGTTCATTGTCCCTTTGGTTCCTAGACTGCAGAGAGAAGTCGTGGATCCTCTCCAGCAAAAACACGTTGTACTGACTGCGCTTTTCGTGGTCAGTGTGGGGGGGGGTGCGCCGTGCAGTTATCACGCGGGTACGCATGCGCACTACAAAAACAATTGCGCAAGATCATAGAGCGCGAAAGTGCGCGTGCGCGCGCATGTGCTGCGCACGGATGATGGAGGTTACCATAAACATAGATTGAACTCCTGCTTGTACATACAACGCTCTGAAATATACAAACTAAAAGTTTATAGCTTTTCCACAGTACGCCATTAGACTTGCTTCTCTTAGAGCCTCAGCATTAGTCTAAAAATCGAGAGAATTCAAAATATTGCGGGCAATAATTAGGTATCTCACAGGGTGGGCGTGGCAGATTCTAGCTATGTCTTCAGCAGATGCTCCATACTCCATAGCCAGAACACCTTCATTGATGAGTTCTCCGGCAGTCTGGACAGATATTAACGTTTATCTCTTTCTGGGCTCAACATGCATTGTGTGGTACGTGGGGTGTTGAAATGTATGAAATCAGTATTTGCCAATGAGAGTTTGACTATGTCTGTAGCCATGACCTCCCAACACACTACAAACAGAATGCATGCAAGTGACAAACCAATGTCAGATGTACACTATGTTCCACACACACACCTAAAACTTATGCAGTCTATTCACTTAGTGAAACCCAATCATATCACATGATGCTAATAATTGACTTTTGCCATCTATCTATGTATGTATTTCGAGAGAGAGAGAGAGACACTCACAGAACCAATCATGTGAATTCCAAGGATCCTGTCAGTTTTCGCGTCACTCAGAACCTTCACAAACCCATCTGTATCAACTGCAACACAACACTGTACGAGAAACGTGGGTCAGTGGTAGATTTGTGGGTAAGAGGAGGAACCAGAGCTGTTCCCAGCCAATGCTCTGGACCACCTGACACTTTAGTGCGGGATCGAGGATTCGAACCAGGCACCTATGGTGTCAGTCCCCATGTCTCTAACCACTTAGCCACTCGGGCTGGCCTTGAGAGGTGATGAAAAAACGTTCCTCTTATATCAACAAATCATAAAAGTCAGTCACTGCTGCACAATTCCCATCTTTTACATCCCACGCCAACCAAAACTCATGCACTGATGACGACTCTGAATCTCTCGTCTCCAGTTGTTCGCACTACCTCTGAGGTGTAGCTGTATTGAGCTAAGTAGATGTTATCATTTCCCCCTGACTGACCAAATGGGCCCTCACTGCCCAGGTAGAAGCTATCAGCAGTGGTAACAATAGCCAGACCGTTATGTGGGTTGTAGTGAGCGTTCTCAACAGTTGCATTGGGTCCACTGCTCAAGTCGCTAGTTTTGTACACGAAACAGGTCCTCGAGCTTCCTCCCAGACACCCCACTAGTCTACTGCCGTCAGGACTTAGAGCTAGTCCAATCAAGAGATCGTCTCCACTGACATTAGCAGTCTCCAGTAGGTCAAGGCTGCGGCTCAGTCGCAGAAGCTGGTTGCCTGCAGCGATAAACACCTCTCCATTCTCCGTGTTGACCGCCACAGTATTATTGCCGCTGTTCGGAGGCACGTCCAACGAGTAGCTCGCCAACTCTAGCTGGCCAATGCTCCACCGCAGCGCGCAGAGTAGAAAAAACACTCTTCCTACTAACCTAACGCCCATCTCTCTTCTCACCGAACTTGACTGCTTGACACACGCCCACTTCGCGGCCGGCGCACCGGAAGCCATCAAAATTGCGCGCATGCGTAGCGTGCAATCGAGCTTTTTGCACACAAAACACGGTATAATACACACACATACAAAATCGAGTCCACTAAATTCTAGGGGCACTCCTATCATTAGTGACTGCCTTTTTCAACTTGGATCCTCTCCTAATCTGAGTCAGAAGAACTCCACGCTCCTCAGTGGAGGACGGAGATGGTGCATGTTGTGAGGATGAAGAGGGAGGAGGAGGGTGAGAGGTTGGAGGGGAGGGACGTTGGGTGCTCTGTGAGGATGTGCCCGGTGTGCTGGAGCTTTGTGGAGCTGGTGTAACTGGATAACTACAAGGAAAAATTGGGGAAACCCTTCATTTTATTATGATAATCAACACTCACTAGTTATCTTGTTTGGAGAAGGATCTTCTTTGTGAGGCAGACTTCTCGCGATCTCTCGCGAACTCTGACCTTCCTTTCCTCACTCCTCGCAGCAGACCCTTCATTTCAGCCGACAGCTGGATCTGTGAGGTCAGGTGACCAATCACATGACCAGTGATTAAGTCACGTGACACTCACCTGACTTGAATCCCAATTGTCCATTTCTGGTAGTTTGACTGACTTGAAGAATGGCAAATTCAGCAACTAACAAACAGAAGAATGAAGGCATAAACGTAAACTTTGCTTATCAGCTTTTAGTGTGCATGGTTAATTGTAGTCCTTCAGAAGTCCTGTTTTCTTTCTTTCTTTCTTACTATTGTATATAGCGTGAGCTGGGTAACTGAAATTGCTTCCTGGAAAAACTGCAGTCATTCAGAACATCTACAATTTTGCAGTACCTCAACGATATTGGGGAAGGGTCTGTCGTCAAAGCACCACTGAAAATATACCTCAGAACCTGTCATAAATGAGAGATAATTTTGCGCAGAGTGATTGAGTGAGCAAAATAATATTAGAGCCCCGATACCTCAATTTGTGCCTCGCTGTTCACGTTGGTCATGTCACTGTTGCTAGGAGACAGGGTCGTCAGTTCGTACCCACACATCATCTCAAACAGTAGGTGACCTGCCATAAATTCAGACACAAGTTTATTCCATTTTCAGAGTCTTTTTCAGGGGTTTGATGCTGAATGGAGGGAAACTGTTCGATAAAGAAAGAATTGCAGGAGTTGGGAATCAATGTGCACAATTTTTCTCTGCAAAATTTTCCTTCCCTACTGATGAGTCAAGAGTATATTTCGTGAAAGTTTCGTATACTATAGTGGTGTTTTTCTTTAACCCCTCTCTCACCGAACATGATGGAGTCCATGGAGTCGGAGTGGTCTCTCACCAGTCTGTGGTGCCTGCTGCGGTATCCTAGCACAGTGTTCTCATATCCTGACAACCTGGGGAGAGAGAGAAATTAATACATTCCAGAGCACTCTATACTCAGTAACACCATAATATCATTGATAGTGAGGATGAATGCAAAAGTTGAAAAAGATCATTGCAAAAGTGTGTAGCAATGAATAAAACTTGGAAGAAATAGAAGTCTACCTCACAAAGAAAGAGAGGAAGTTTAGTTTTATGTTTAACACAGTCGATCGGATTTAAGAGAATAGAAAATGAAATGTTAGGAATAATGTCTAAAACAAACAGCATTGAGCGAAAAAGGGAAGAGCAATGTAAAATGTAGGTTGTTAAGTATTTACCTACAGACACTCCCATCAATAAACACATTCCCACTCTGAAGATTTCCCAGAGGGGGAAACCCCTTTCTGTAGAGAATACGTAATGCCTCCAGGATCTGTCGACCGTATAAGGCAACTGTTGCCGGCGGCAACCCTCGTCTTCGTATCGAGTACTTTTCAGACCATTCGAGAGTTGGTTGTCGCTGTGTGTGGAGAGAGGAAAGAGTTAAATGCAATTCGCAAAAAAGCTAGAAAACGGTTAAACATACTTTGTAGATGAGATCTTTGAGTGACCCCTGGGGGAAGAAGGTCATCACCATGACAACCGACGAGTGTTCGGGAAGGTAGTCGACATGCTCCAAAGAATGAAGAAAAGGGTGCTGTGCCAAAAAGTCATTTGGACAAAATTTAAGACAAAATACAAAAATTCTTTGTATATACCTTCAATGTCACAAGTAGTTCGTTGAGGAGTGTCACATTTTCTCTCTGCAATCTGATTGGACAGTGCTTGGAGACGGGCTGGAGTGTCAGAATCCTCTGTGATCTCTGGGATGAACCTTGACCCCTCGCGGAGACGAGGAACCAGTATTTGGCGACGCGACTCCCCAGGTCCGGCAGAGGGTTAGTGAGTGTATAGCTCTTTGTGTTACGGAGGTAATACTGACACGCCAGATTAGCTGCCTCTGTGCAAGGAAAACAAAGGTTTATAATATACTGCTTGCCGTAGCAAGGTAAGCCCAGGGCTCTGAAGAATGATGTCATCATTACCTCGCTCGCTGACCTCTCTCCTCTTCCTCTCATTGGTCCAAGACTCAGCCACGCCCACTTCTCGTTTCTTGGGCTTCCCCGAGCTAGTGACACTTGGTGAAGAGCTAGTGTTGAAGGAAGTTGAGGCAGAGGTCGATGCATCGTTCACTGTATACAGAGGAAGATAAGGTGCTGATAACTGACTGAATTTACCACTAGCTGGTGAACATTTCAAGACTCTACAGTTCCTTCATTACGGGAAATAATGTAGTAGCCGATAAATTTACCAAAACTGCCCTCCCCTGGGGACTTGGCAGTGATCATGTGCATGTAGCCAAGACATGCATTATTGCTGGAGACTCCAACCACAACTACCTCTCAACTATATTATGCACCTAATGCGAGGAACAACTGTAAACAGTATACATGTACTACAGCCTTATGTTTACACCATATGAAGATATACCATGAGTATAATATAACACAAAAGTGACTGAAGCCTTGGAGATGTAGGGAAAAGTAAAGATACTCACAACTCTTCTGCAGTTCAATGCTGCCATACTGCAGGGAGTCCTCCAGGTTAGCTCTCAGGTTCACATAATACACACCGTTCCTTCGTCGCTTGCGTCGCCGATGGTAGCTTTGTGTGAAGTAAAGAAGAATAGAAATGTAGTAAGAATAGGTGATGTGAAGTTTGCTGGGTCTCACGAACCAGCAGAGGACGCAGCTGACGAGAATGGTGACTGAAATGAGGACAAAAATAACTCCCACCACCGCCACCACCTGTAGAGATCGTCATATATCGTCGCTATGACGCTGTCCAGGGAGTCACGCGGTCAGCCTACTTACCCAGTAGTTTTCACGAACGTATTTGTCAGCAGACGATGCCATATTCTCTGCGTCCTACTCTCCCTCTAGCTTCTTCGCTCGTCTCGAGACCTCAAAACAGTGATCATGTGGCTCTGAAGCCACGCCCACTTTCATTATAGCCCCGCCTTTTTATTTAGCGCGCGGTACATCCACGCATGCGCACTAGCACACGACAGCATAATAATCCCGATCGATCGCTGAAACCCCTCCCCTTTAGTTTAATCTCCGGACAGAACCCCAAAGCGTGTCGCTCCTTGGTTGTTTGCTGGCTGTGTAAGATGCAGATAAAGGACCTGCCGTTCAGAGTGATATTCCAACTCTGCAGACATCTGGACTCGCCTCACGCCGACCGCTTCAGTTGGCGCGCTCTCCTCTCCCACGTCCCTCGTAAATCCGCCAACTCTCTATCTTCTAAGATTCCCTCTCTTCCCCCATCTCTCTTTCTCTTAGATTCTCCGTACAATGCCATCGACGTGGGTGCCTTCCAACGAGTGGGGCACCAGCCAAACGGGAGTCCGACTGAGGCAGTGCTGCAGGATTTCATTGCCCGAGGATTCTCCGTGGACGACCTCTATCTCATGATGAAGGACATGGGATACGTGGAGGGAATGAGGATTCTTCAGCAGTACGGTGAGCTGGTTAAACTGTACACTATTCAAATGAGATTGCCAAGTAATAAGTATTATAGTTATCTATAAACCGAGATTTCTTGACTGACTCTGAAAATGATTTTTTTGCAGCTTCTCCGGAGCATCATCATTTTCTCGCTCAACTTTTGGGGGAGATCGAGGCCACACCCCCTGCCCCTCCCCAAAAGGACACTCTCCCTCCGAAAGGTCGTTTATCTCTCTTCCTCACTTTGTATGACGTGTTTTGAGTATAATATCTACTCGTTAATGTATGTAGCAGTTCATTAACATTTGCATGCGGAGCAGTTAGCATGCATTGCAACATTCACATAATGGGGAAGACATTGTAAGAAGGTTAATGATAATCTAGAATCCTTAGCGTACTAAGGCATGTACTAAGGCATGTAATAACACACGTGACACTCAAAGTGATAGTGAAAGTAGCTGTGGTAAGTCTGGGGCAAACCTTATGAAATTGACTGAATTCCATACTCACTTATTATACAAAAACATTTTCAGTGTGATGGCTGCCAAACCAGCCATGGCCTCTATACACTTTCCATTCCTGCCCTCCCTTCCCCTTCTCCACATCTCTCTCTCCATATCCTGTGAGGGGGGAGCTCTGTCTGTGTACACAGCTCTATCAACACACTAGTGCATCTGCGAATACTTTCACTGGCTCTGTATACCCTTGGATATTCTTGGATACTATCCCTTCCAAACTTTATTGTTAAATGTCAATTTTACTTTGTGCAGAATATTGATACAAAGATCGTCTTACACTCACACTATCTGTGACAGACATGTGCACATAACCTTAAAAATCCCCAAGAGTTTTCCCTTATTTTCTACTAATTGACTATTTTTTGGGATGTAAAATTATTGCACTCTCCTGCATACACCACAGTAGGAGGAGGGGAGAAGTATGTGGTGGACCCCCTGCATGGACCCCTGCCCCCCTCCAACCCCACTCCCCGTGAGAGGTACATGGTGGAGGTGGTTCAGCCATCGGGTGGGGAGGGAGGTGAGAAGGTGGGACAAGGCAGGAGGGAGAAAGACAAGGCAATTGACGGACAAGGAGCAGTCGTGCATAACGGACACGACCAGTTTCCATGGCAGCAGCCACACCCACCTCATCTTCCTCACTCGCATCCTAACTCCCTCCAGAATGGAATGGGGACGGCTCAACCCGAAGTCTCTGTTCCACGTCCGCAGTACCTGGTATCAAATGGAGCCTACCCTAATTTTATGCCGAGTCAGCAACCATACCACTACCAGCAGCAGCAGTTCAAGACCACGCCCCCTGGCCCCGCCCACCCTAATTACCTCCCGACTCACTCCCAACCTCCGTCCTATCATCGTCAGAATCCACATACTCCAGTGGGTGGAGTTTCACCATCATCTTCGGAGTACCCCGTTTTTTCCCCCGCGCCTTCCTTCAACCCTCACTACTCCTATTCCCCGTTAACCCCTCCACCACAGAATTCCACTGGCTCCTCCTCGCAGTTAACCCCTTCCTCACCGGCTGACTCTACCTCCACGGGGATGACGTCATCGTCGGCAAACTCTGAAATTCCACTCCCAAACATTCTCCATTTCTCGTTTCAGGAGTTGAGCGAAGCAACCGGTGGGTTTACTACGGGCCTCCTGGGAATAGGGTCGTTTGGGAGTGTCTACAAGGCCATGGTGAGAGGAACTGGGCCTTACGCCGTCAAGAAACTGCACAATGTGAGTAGTCAGTTAATCTTTTCCACGATAAAAATTTCATTTTCTCCTTCTCAACTTTGCTGTAGGAGACTGAGTACGAAGGAGGGATGTTTTACGAGATGATCCATCGCGACACTTTTCTCCAAGAACTACAGATGCTAACAAAGTTTGTTGGTTTATAATTCCCATGATGTCATCATTACATCATCTATGTTTTATAGGTATCATCATCGGAACATACTCTCACTGGTTGCCTATAGCAACGACGGCTTTCGTCCCTGTCTAGTTTACGAGTACATGGAGAACGGGTCGCTAGGCGACTGTCTCCACGGGCGACGGAATGTTCGTTTGGCGTGGGATGTGAGACTCAGCATTGCGGACCAGGTTGCAGATGCTCTTCATTTCCTGCACACAGTCAACCATCCTCGCTGCCTGGTTCATGGAGATATCAAGAGGTTTATTGTACGGAAGAGTTCTTTTTGCTATTGAGTTAACACATACAATACATTGGGAAAAGTCTGTGTTGTTCAGTTGCAAAGTAGAAAACTATTCTGTGAAGAAGCTACGAAGTGTTTGACCATCTGTATATACCATGGTCCCTACCTACAGAGAAAGGTTTCACATAAACTGCAAAAACCTCTCCCTTCAAACTGGCCCACTGTTGTAGATCTTCACTGCTATGACTATGTATATATATAAGTTGAGGAAATAAAGAACATATGTAGTGCATCATTTCCTCCCGTCCCACTCTCTATCTGCAGTGCCAACATTCTCCTGGACAGTCACCTGGTCCCCCGGCTCTCAGACTTTGGTCTGGCCAGAGAGTGCTCCGCCCGCTCCTCCTCCCAGCAGAGCCAGTTCTCCACCCAGTCACAGGTCATCATGGGGACCGTGGCCTACATGGCCCCCGAGTTGTTCAGGAACCGCAAACTATCCCCGAAGACAGATGTCTACAGTTTTGGAGTCATTCTGCTGGAGTTGTACACGGGACTGGCAGCTGACGATCCCGCTGTGCCTCAGAGAGCTCTGGTAATGGAGTCTGGGGGGATGGGTAGGCAGGAATAGAGTGGAGGGTAAATTGCATGCCCCTAAATATCAATCAAGCCCCTTGTGACTAAAGATTTGAAACATGTATTTGTGTCTCCCTCCGCCAATTCAGTAGTTTCTTGCCAAAACATTCTGTTTGTTGCTGCATATTACAATAGGACACAAGAAAAAGGCTTTTCCACATTGTATGAGTGTTTCTAAACATGAATCTGTTATCTCTGGCTGTTGTCCAGACGATGCGACTGGCCGACCTGTTCAAGGAGACGGCACAGCAGTCTGAGATAGCGTCCCAGGCGGACCCCCACGCTGGTTGGCCCGGCAACGTGGGGTGTGGTCTGTTTGACATTGCCACAGTCTGTGTGAGACGTAGGGACAGAGACAGACCCACCATGGACCAGGTCTGTTCATCACAGATATTGCTGTGTACAAAGATTTTGTTTTATTGGGTATGAAATATGTAGGTGCCAAAATACTTGCTTTTGATGTTCACAATCGACATGGAATAGATTCACACATTTGATCACGAACATTGTGCTAGAAAATTAGAGTAAAAAGTCTCTATTGCCATCTCTCCACTCACATCAGGTGAAGATGCAAGTGTCGTCGCTGGCTGTGGAGATGAGTCTTGACCAGCTGCATATCTCCTCTCCCCCAGCAGCCCCGCCCCCTTATTCCTACCCATGAAAACTTTCGAGAAAAACGTTTGCTATCATTTTATCCTCTTATGTATGTGCTCTACTTTCGTATCTGAACATATTGTACCATGCGCAACAAATAAGCGCATGCGATAATGAATCCGCATGCGCTAACAGAAAAGGTGAAGGGTCGACTGTATAACACGGCTGCAATGTCTTCTCTTTTGCTGAGGAGTTTCGAGCAGGCCAGCCGCCTCAGTAGGGTGAGCTACCACTCTTTCGACCCATTGCTTCTTTCCTCCGTACCTATCTACCTAGAGATAGCCTAAACTGGTCATTTTGAGCAGTGTGTGTGTTGTTCTGCAGCGGAAGCTAACGTACGGCGCCGTATCTAGTCTGTCGTCTCATCGGCGAATGCAGAGCGGCGGGCAGACAGACACAGATCTGGTCGTCATTGGCAGCGGACCTGGCGGATACGTTGCCGCCATAAAGGCAGCTCAGCTGGGACTCAAGGTAGGCGTGGTTTCGAGCCCACTGGAGTGACGTAGAGATGATGTAATCGCCCAGACGGTGTGCGTGGAGAAGGACGTCACTCTTGGAGGGACTTGTCTCAACATCGGCTGCATTCCTTCAAAGGTAGCTAATTTTTGAAGATCGTCATGAACGGACTGTTGCAGATTGCTTTTCAGACTGCAAAAACGATCTGTACCCCAAATGGAAAACATTAGTTGATACAGCTTCTTTTGCTCAATACTCTCTCTCTCTCTCTCTGCAGTCACTGCTGCACAATTCCCATCTTTTACACATGACTCAACACGAGTTTGCCACCAGAGGAATTGACGGTCAGGATACAGCTTTTAACTCGCGATAAAGATACTACTGTTGTAGTTTTGTTTTCCGGTGAAACTTTTGCTGTTTTTTGGAGAAATATTCGAGTGAATTATGTGCTGGAATTATGGGAAATTTTTCTCTCTCTCTCTGACAGTGTCTGGAGTTGAGCTGAATCTGGGGAACATGATGAAGGCAAAGGAAACGTCCGTCTCACAACTCACCAGCGGTGTGGCCGCACTTTTCAAGATGAACAAAGTAAATCTTTCGTCTCTTTTTCTCTTTTCCTCATATTTATTCTACCTCTCACTTTATACTCAATTTTCCATCCTAAATATTTTCTTTTTGTGTATCCATTTTTTCAGGTAACACACATGGTAGGCCATGGTTCCATTACTGGTAAAAACGAAGTGACTGTTACCAACGGGCAAAAGTGAGCGTCTCACTAATTTACTATTACCTCATAATGACGTCATTGTCTCCGCTACTAAAAATAGAGAGGTGGTACGGACTAAAAATATCCTGCTGGCTACAGGCTCTGTCCCCACTCCATTCCCTGGACTGGAGGTTTGGAGAATCTAACACTTTTCTCTTGTTAAAACGCACTGAGGCACATAATGCTCACAAATTAGAAAGTTGCGTGGACAAAAGGTTTTTTCTGAGAGCATGAAATTTTGACTTACCAATAAAATAATAGACGGTATATTATTTCGTATTTTCTGCTCATTCTCTAGTTTGATGAGAAGGTGGTTGTATCATCCACTGGTGCACTCTCACTGGAGAAAGTACCAGACAGAATGGTGGTCATAGGAGCTGGCGTCATCGGTCTTGAGCTTGTGAGTCATGTGACTGTCACCTGACTCTACCTCCGGGTCATGTGACCTGCAGGGGTCGGTGTGGAGCCGCCTGGGGTCAAAGGTGACGGCGGTGGAATTCCTTGGTCACGTGGGAGGGATAGGGATAGATATGGAGGTCAGTAAGACAGTTCTCAGGTTGATGAAGAAACAAGGGCTCGCCTTCAAGCTGCAGACTAAAGTCACAGGTAAGGAGATGTACTGAGAAAAGGGGAATCCTCATGTTTCCTCTTTTGACTGTGTTTACAGCTGCGAGTGTGTCAGGGGGTGTGGTCAAGGTTGCCATGGAGAGTGCGAAGGGAGGGAAGGTGGAGGAAGTAGAGTGCGACGTTTTGCTGGTCTGTGTTGGGAGGAGGCCATACACTGACAATCTCGGACTGGAGGTGAGTCTCATTCCGGTTCCACGGCCAGGTCTCATTCAGGTACCACGGTCTGACAGAACGTGGGAATCAGTCTTGACGACAGGGGCAGAATACCAGTCGACAATCACCTCAGAACTACAGTCGACAAGTGAGCCGATTTTGAAGAGTTATATTTTGTTAAATTATTTTTTCCTGCTCAGTATCTATGCTATAGGAGACTGTATTCATGGACCAATGTTGGCTCACAAGGCTGAGGACGAAGGTAGATTTTATTGCTATTCTTCATTAATTCGTACTTTTAGCCTGCACATGGGGAGAACCACCTTGAACACCTTATCTGTAGCAGTAAACTCTGTGACCGGGAAATTTTCCATTCCCCTGTTCCCATTTTTCCATTCCAATACCCCCATTCCCATTCTCTCATACTATACAACAGGTATCATATGTGTGGAAGGAATGGTGGGAGGAGTGGGGCATTTGGACTACAACTGTGTACCATCTGTCGTCTACACCCACCCAGTGAGATGATGATAACCCCTCGTTAGCTGGCCCTCACTTCCTGTTTCCTGTCCCACAGGAAGTGGCGTGGGTGGGCAAGAGCGAGGAAGACCTGAAGAGTGCAGGAGTTGAATACAGAGTTGGGAAGTTCCCCATGTCTGCCAACAGCAGGGCAAAAACCAATGGTATGTACTCTACTGTCATGTTGGGCTGGCCAAAAATATATACAGCCTTAGGATTTATGATTTTTGCCCTAAATAATTCGTAGATGTCTGGGGAGATTGATTGCTGGGCAAATTTTTTTCAACCTTGGATTATTTTTTGGCCTAAAAACACTCTATGGATGAGTTGAAATTTTGTTAATGCATGGCCAGTATTGTTTTTTGCATGTGTAAGAAGCCTCTTAATATAATCCCTTTCAGATCTGTAGTTAGATTTGCACGAGCTTTTTTGTACTGTGGTGTTGTGTTTGCAGTTGATACTGATGGGTTTGTGAAGGTTCTGAGTGACGCGAAAACTGACAGGATCCTTGGAATCCACATGATTGGTTCTGTGAGTCTCTCTCTCTCTCTCAATACATACATAGATAGATGAAACGTATGGTTGGGTTTCACTAAGTGAATAGACTGCATACAGTTTTAGGTGTGTGTATGGAACTTAGTGTACATCTGACATTGATTTGTCACTTGCATGCATTCGTGTTTGTAGTGTGTTGGGAGGTCAGGACTACAGACATAGTCAAACTCTCATTGGCAAATACTGATTTTGTCCATTTTAACACCCCATGCTATATTATACGCACCGCGCAATGCATGTTGAGCCCAGAAAGAGAAAGAGAAAGAGGTATATAGATAAATGTTTATATCTGTCCAGACTGCCGGAGAACTCATCAATGAAGGTGTTCTGGCTATGGAGTATGGAGCATCTGCTGAAGACATAGCTAGAGTCTGCCACGCCCACCCTGTGAGATAACCTAATTATTGCCCGCAATATTTTGAATTCTCTCGATTTTTAGACTAATGCTGAGGCTCTAAGAGAAGCAAGTCTAATGGCGTACTGTGGGAAAGCTATAAACTTTTAGTTTGTATATTTCAGAGCATTGTATATACAAGCAGGAGTTCAATCTATGTTTATGGTAACCTCCATCCGTGCGCAGCACATGCGCGCGCACGCGCACTCGCGCGATTTTCCCGCTCTGATCTTGCGCAATTGTTTTGTAGTGCGCATGCGTACCCGCGTGATAACTGCACGGCGCACCCCACACTGACGACGAAAAGCGCAGTCAGTACAACGTGTTTTTGCTGGAGAGGATCCACGACTTCTCTCTGCAGTCTAGGAACCAAAGGGACAATGAACGGAGCTATTCTCTCTGTGACTATTGCTAGTCTCCTCGCATTTCCCGCCGTATTTGCCGTCATCACAAACTTTGCTGCACAAAACGGCGAAACGCTTCGCAACGTGTTGCTGACGGAGGCCGGATCGCTCGTCCTCGGCTCCAACAGGTCTCTTCGGAGACTTTCAGCCGCTGATCTGTCTGTAGTGCGGGAGGTTTTCCTGCCCGAGGGCCAAGTGAGTCGACTGCTACTGGGAGACCCCGATGGGACCTACAGTGGGAGAGTATTGTCGTGTCTCCGGACGAACTGCTCTCTGCTGGATGTCAATAACATAGCCAGCCACAACTGGGAAGTCAGTAACGTTCTGTTAGTTGACGGAATGACGAATGCTGGAGGGTTGTTCGTTCGCGGACGAGAAGACACGTCAGTGTTGACTGTCGGACTACAGCGTAACGGGGAGCAGGTGTCGCGGATTGTACGCGGCAACCTCGTCAATGTGGGAGAAACCAGTGGTCAGGGCTTTAGCGTATTCAACCGACAGACAGAAGGGTTTTTATACGACAGAGAATTTCTGACGATATTTCAAAACGATGGCTTTTCGTATTTCGTCACTAAACAAGGTGCTGATGATGAAATAAGGGTGGTGAGGGTGTGTAACAACGACACGTCATCATCAGTCGCTAATGGAGGGTTTGTGTCCTACTTTGAGATAAGACTGGAGTGTGGTGGCTCGGAGTCTGTCCCCACTGCAGCCACTTTCCTCCCGTCAGACCAGACCATCACCCTATCTGCCGCCCAGTCTCAGAACTTGGTCTGCGTCTTCAAACTCTTTGACATTCATCAACTCATGACTCAGAAATACAACGACTGTAGATATGGAATGGGCAGCACTGGACTTGCCAGAAGTGGTACAAAACCATGTGAGCTTTTCGATCCAGAGCGTCTCAACAATACCGTATGTTCTCTAACACCTTGCTGATCTCTATACTCACACCTCTCTCTATCTGTCTCTGCAGGATATCACTGAGTGTAACTTAGTGTCGACTCTCCTGCCATTTCAAGAAGTTGTGAATCCACTATCGGCAGGTCCTGTATTCTCTCTTCCACTGAGTGATGGCAATTTCACCTCGTTAATCCATTCCACCCTCGACAATGTTAGCTACCTGTTTGCTGGTACACACAATGGGAAAATCTACCAGGTATGTCGTAAGTATCCTCCTGGTTTGTTGTCTGGGCTATTATAATAATAGTTTATCATTATCCCCTAATTTTATATGTGTGTTCCTCTTATGTTACTTCATTGAACCAGGATATGAACTTTGGAATGGTTTTAATGTATAATGCATTATTTCTCCATCTCTATCTTGTGTCATGTTTACCCTGAGTGTCACTGGATATTGGGTATTCCTTACGAGGGTCTGTGGCCAAAAAAGATCTCTGCCGTCATTCCTAACCTGAGCTATAGCTGCAACCACATCCTGTCCTTACCAGCTTCAGCAGATAATGCACATTCTTGGCCTGTGTTGCAATAGAGGGTCGCTGAACTGCTGAACTACAACATATCACATGCAATCAACTGCCCATTTAAAGTACTGCCATAGTAAACAGTTGGGGTTGTGGGGGCTGGTACTGTTCCATCACCGCTACAATTCTCCCACCTCAGAGGACATTTCTCTTTGGAGGCGAAGAAAGTTTATGCTATTATGTAATGTTATGCTACTAAACAAACTTATGGATCTTATCAGAAGAAGTGGTCTTATAGCTGTTGTATTGTAATGATGGGAGACAAGTTAGGGGAGATCAGGATTGGTAGCTCTGTGTTTTGGTGTGTTAATAGCTGGAGAGGTTTGGTGCTGTAGCTAACGGCTTCTGCTATGGCTCTGTCATGCCAGGAATGTCAGTATAGCTCTGTACTAGCAGTCTCTTAGAGATGTGCAAATATTGCTACTTTGCAGGCTAACCTCAGCACATACCAACTACCAACGGGGATATCTTTGCAGGCACATCAACAGTGTCTGTTTTGTTTTAGCTTAGTTTATTTAAAAGGCCTCAACGCCGCAAACTTTCTACTTGAAACTGTGTCGTAGCACGTAACTGGCTTAGTCTTTGTATGGAACCGTGTGTTGTTGTCTTGACTCTTCCAATAGTTGATTTCATAATTCTGACTATGATGGATAAGTGGCTGGGAATGTTGGCCAATGAACGCTGCCAATCCTCATATCTTGTTTCTCCAAACCTGTATATACACAATAGACCTTCCAAAAGGCAGTGACTCAGTTGGAAGATCACAGAGCTGACTCAAAAGGCCTCAAGTGATAATATAAACTCCCTCTTGACAAACAAGACATGTTTTCAAGGGAACAATACTTGTTTACTAGAACTTGCTCAAACTCCAACTAAGCACTTAGATTTAGGGACTGGTAGTAAACGTCTATTAGCCAAGCCAGCAGCATACCTCAGCCTCCCACACCAGATGTCCAGTCTCTCTGCGAGTATATACTGCTAGCTGGGTCTTCTGTGTCCAGGGAACGGAGAAATTTAATCCTGTTCTTGAGGTGAGTTTGGCCCACCAGGTCTGCCTGGCCATGCAGAATGTATGCCAAGGACTGGACTAACCCTATTAGTAATGTAATACTGTATATCTCTCCTTTGCTGACATGTGTGCATGTTAAATGAGGGACACCCTAAGTATTTTATCAGCTAAAAGTACATAGATGCTGCATAATGTGTTGAAGGCATGATTTTTCAAGTGTCATATAAAAATAAAGTACACCTTATGCGCAGCTAGTATTTAAGTCAGTGTATTATGCAAATGGGAGGATATCAGATTGCAGGCATGTACTGTGTAAACCAGTTTCTTCAGGGAATTTATAGATAGGCTAAATATAGCCCATGTCTGGAAGGCTTGGTATGAAGGGTGTAAAACGATAGTAGCATTCCTTAAACCAGTGACACATGGCTGGCTGCGCGGATCCTAATATTTCATCATGAGACCTTTGTCCCTTTAGTTCTAGGGCCACGTTAGACGTACATACTGTAGCTGCCGTGAATGTTTGGGGTTTTTTCAGGTAGTTAAAGTTGTAGGCTTGTAGTGTGCCTGAGTGAGTGTGTACTGTTGGTGTTTGTGAGTTCTCACAGATCTGTAGTAGAATGTTACTCACGAAGCAAACACAACGATAAACCTCACTCTAGATTTACCACAAATGTAGTGCATTAAGTGCTCTCTATTCAGAAGTCGTTTGCTAGATGATATGAAACCCTATTCTGTTGTCCCCTTCCTGATAAGAAGGCTTTTATCTGCTCATTCCCTTCTTGCCTGTCTGCCTATTAATAATTATACTTGCTGCCTTCTATAGACTACTCTGTTGCGTCCTAGAGTTGCCTGCTGATGATGAGAAGACCTATTCTATGGCTGAGTGGTTCTCAACTTATAGCGATAAGTGTGGGGCTTGTTCTGCAGCAAAGTGCACTTCAGTCACTCAAAATTCCAGCGGTTCAGCCAACCTGGTGTAAATATAATACTGCCATTAGTTGACATACGTAGCCTTCACCTGGTACAGCCAGCATTCAGTGAGAGAGTTTGATGATAGATTTAGTGGCTGGTTCCAGCTTTATGCCGTGCCAAGTTGGACTGAGCCATTGCCATACTCAGCAGCTGCACCTGGGAACTGTCCTTGTATTATGTCAATAGCCCAGCGCCTGCATTATTATACAGTATGGGTTTAGGGTTTAGCAATAGAGTCTCCCACGGTTGCACTATGTGACTATCATAACTGATTCACTGGTATAAGTCAGGCAATGTGTACACTGCAGAGGTAAGTGGTGAACACCAGTTTTTGCCTGGGAGTTTAGCTCAATGATTTATTGAGGATTCAAAATCAAGCAATAGCTTTCTCATCTGATTGTGAGGGCCCCCTGCTATAATAGAATTCACAGATGGGGCTATAATTAGAAATTAGAGAAGGCATTCCGAGGTGGAATTGCATTAGAGGCGCCACACAAGAGAACTGTGGAGGGAGCGGTGAAGAATGTTATAGCTGGCACTGGTATGTGGAGACCCACAGGAACCACTGATGTGGTTAACGAAGCATAGGTCACATGCCACGCAGTCGTGATGATGTAATGTAATATTATACTTCCTTGCTCCTGGACTAGCGCATGAACTCGTTCAAACGGCTACTTGGCTAGTTTTCCGAAATAAATTTCGTGTATAATGTGCGTAGGTAACTGTTGGTTTCACTATTACATTTGATAAGCAAATTTTTTGTTTACTTTCTACAGTATCACTATGTCAACAGTACATCGATTAACCCCATCCGCACCATAAATCTTGTAAGCAGTGAAGAAATGAGTGGAACCAACAACGTGACTCAGATGACAGTGGCATCTGATGGATTAACCCTTTACGCTCTGAGTCCCAGAAAGGTATTTTTAATTTAACCCTTTATGTACTAAAGAACGAATATTCCTTTATGCTTGGATCAATTAATTAACCCTTTATGCACATAGCCCTTGCACTATGTGGATTTAATCCTTTGTTCACGGGGCCCTTGCGTAATAAATCCCATTACATACTGAGGCCTATTAACCCTTTATCTACTGAGCCCTAGCACATTGTACTCATGGTGTGTTTAGGGCTAGGGCTTTACGGTGGGATGTGGTAGCTATGGAGACTGTGTGTGGCAGACATCCTGTCTGCTATGAGAGAGCGTCAGTGATCACACCTCAGCGAAGACAGATGGTCACGAACCATCAGGCCCGATAGAGCCCCAGTGTTGGGCAAGACTGTGGTATGTAGCAGGACTCGTGATCCTTGCCATTCTGGAGCATTCGTTGGGAGGGAAAACGACTTTCACAGAAATCGATAGTAAACTATAGTCCTGCTGTCAGTAAATCGCTCGCGACCCCACACATGGCATCAACGGCTGACTTTCCAGATTACTAGATACCAATTCACAGAGTATCCGGCCACAATTACTCTGCTTTCTCTCTCTCCCTCTCGCTTAAATGCAGGCATTTCTCACGCCTCATTCACCTGTCCACCTTCTCCTCTCAACTCTTAACTATCTCGCGGCTTCTCCGCCCTCCACCCTCTCTCTCCGTCTCTAGCTCTACTCACATCAGGCAGTAGAGGCGTCTGCAACAGCATCACGTCGTGTAACGCTTGTCTCGGAGAGACGGAAGGAAAGACGCAATCTGTGGATGGTGCTCGCCTGGAAACCAGGTTGTTGACCAGGTCTCAAAGAAAACAAAAAAGGGCAGGGGTTTGCAGTGAACCATGTTCTCGTGCCTGTATTGTAGATCTGCAGGTGTAGTCGTCGTCATGCCGTGTTCAGCGGTATGGTGTGTCTGACAGTATTGGATCCTGCCCAGTCATCACATCAGCGGATCATCCATCAGCATATGTCAGGACTCGCCGGTACATCTTCAGGCCATCAGGCCTATAGCTTAGCAACAGCCTGGCGATTAGGGTCTCCAACAGCTAGTGCTGCGATCAAATGTCTGCCAAATCATGGGAAGCGTGCTAAAGTCAAACATTCAGTCGCCAAAGCATGGCGTAGCCAGGCGAGAGTGAGATTCGTCTGCAAACCTGGCGAGCCATCTGGCAAAGATCAAATTTCAATGGCAAACCAAAAGACTAGGCCAGCACAGGAGCGTCAATCCATTTCAATTTGCGTGGTGTCTGTGCTGGTTCTTGTGATATCATCGTCGAGTTTGCTGTCTTTCGCAGTAGGCTCCATCTTTTACAGATGGCTATTAAACTTTACACCTCCACCACCCAAACACGATTGGAAACGTTGACGATCAATGTTGACATCTTTGCCCTCCTTGCTGGTCATCAAATGTACTTGGTTAACCCTGTAGATGGAAGATGTGATAGTAAATATTTTGATTATCATTTAACCTTTCTATCGTTAGCAGCTCGAACTAACGATGGGTGATGTTTGTAGAATAGTTTTAACGCGCTTGCTGCCCGTCATGTAATAATTAATTTACCGCCAGAAGAAAAGGATATAGATGTGGGGAGTTGATCTTCAGCTGACAAAATCAGCAATATCCCAGAAGGCTGTTACGCTAAGAGGTGTTGCTACGGTTTCTCAGAGCGTGCCCATCTGAACAACATTCTAGATCCACTTCCGACCGTCCCTCATATGTGATTGAACGCCAACCGGGAGGCAACAGAACCATGATATGTTTACAGTGCGAGTTCGCTAGCGACAATGTTCCGAAAATACCACATAACAGAGTATATGGGGGTGATACTGAAAAACAAAATTTTGTAAATCTAAATGTTTTTTGTTTATCACCAGATTCACTGGCAGAGCTGCTTTCCCTGCGTTACAGGAGAACACAAACAAAAATGTGGCAGTTTTAGACAATCCAATCAGATTTGCCCAAACTGCTCAGTACACACCAAAGTAAGACAGTGTTATATAATACACCATACTGTGCGGGGGGATGAAAGCAACATATGGGACGGACTATATGGAGCTACAGTATGTAGGAAATAGAGAAAGGAGTAATGTAAATACAGAGAGAGATGGGATATGTGTGCCTTTAAGCCAAAAATTGAGTAAATTTCTGCTAGCAAATTTGCATGACAATCACGTGTGGCAAGCACAAGCGGTGCAAAAACATAGTATTGGTCAGGCGACTATTGATTTGGCAGAATAAAACACACCCACCTCACGCATGAGCTCAGCACCATCTACTATCCAGATGCATTCCGGGGACTGCGTTTGTTGTACACGTAAAGGGAGAAGCAGATATACTTCATCCATAGTTACTACAAGAGTTGGTAGTCCTTTAGTACCGAGACCTATTAACCCAGTCATGAACACTGGCTTTCCTGGCCCAGCCTCTGTGTGTGGAGCGGTGTGGGAGGGAGGAAGAGAGAGGAGAGAGTGAGAGAGAGCTTGTTTGAAGCCAAAGGCTTCTGGCTAACTCCACAACCAAAGATATTTGAAGCATCTCTATAAATAGCTTTGGTAACCGTCGTATTGAGAGGTGTCCTTTATTCAAAGTGTCAATTGTAGATATTCCACTATTTTATTATTACTGTACATTATTACACTGGCGGTATGTCTTAAAACTGTTCCTCTATCTTCTTCCCCCCATCCCAGCTGCACCTCGTGTATTGATAGCGATAGTCAGTGCAACTGGTGTCCGTTCACCTTCAAATGCATCTCCTCCATAAACGACTCCTGCTCCGGGGTTGATGAGGTAATGATGATGTAATAATAGTTTTTGGACTGTATTGTAAATTTCACATCGTAAACTTTCAAAATACAAAAGACACACAACATTACCTTAAAAATCTTTTTCTTGAAAGTTACACACTCCCAACTATTAAGTACTGATTTTTAACGACCCTTTCAGACTGTGATGAGTCTGTCCGAAACTCCTCCCACCACTGGACAATGACAATTATCGTCGTTCATGTTGACTACACAATGGGTAAACCCCCTCTCGTTATCGAGGGCTGAGAATCTTGGTCAATTCAGTGATAGTTTCTCTCAGCACAGGTTCATTGTGCTCATTAAAAATGGATCCTGAAGTTCTGTCATCAAGCCGGATGCTGGTGGTGAACACCGACGGCAACAAAGTGGAATGTGTGAAACTAGGGTGAGTGCTGAGTGTGGGCGGAAGGGGGGAGAGAATCAAGCAGCTAGCATCATAGATAAGTCTGCTGCCTAGTTTGTGCGCAATGTACACTCCAGCGATGGGCATATCGCACAAATTCAAAATGAAGCTACCGTATATGCCCATTTTGGGGTGGGGCTTTGTCGGCGCAAATTACATTGCAGACAGTCAGCCTGCATTGTTCCGGGCCTATCTGTCCTCATCATCATTTGGCACGTGATTCACACCCGTCCATGATGTAGAATGAGAGGCATGTTTGCAGCTTTCCCTCTTTTTGTATTTGTTTGACATTGTGTGGGCTGATGATGGCGCAGTCTTGAAGCTAGCTCGCGTGGAATGATTGACATGATCGATCAGCATTGATAACCCCTGACAGAACTGGGGTGAGTGTTATCTTTCCGTTAGCATTTGCTTTCGTCAGGAGCTCAGTGGCCTGGCAGCACTGGACACCCATCCGCATCAATCCGTGGGCGATCCCGCCAGAAGCTGTTTTTTCTGCTCCTGTATATGTATTCTATCATTACAGCGGGTGATAGCTATATAATACTGTACCTTAAACAAAGCAAAAAAATTTTTCATTCATGCACATCACTTAACCAGAGTGAGTGTGTCCGCCTGCGTGTATCGTAGGCCCATACACGCAATTTTTAGTCCACGAAATTTACATTCCCTTTGACTCTTTAGCTAATCGATCGCGCCATCCCCCGTCACCCTGTACACTTGTGGCGGACTGTGGGACCGTACGTGTCGCCCAGTGTCTCTCTCATCCGCCAGTATCTTTGCCATGTGAGTACTGCAAATCCACCTCTCTCCACTCTCATGTCGCCTATCTCCTTCGGGCTGAACCCGTGCAAGCTGACTCATCTACGATCTCGGCGAGTTGTGAACGTCGCGCCGTCAGAATTATTAGTGTGAGTTTTAACACCCTTTGAGAGCACCAGACTGCAGTCTGTTAGAGTTGTCCTGTTAGTGAACTGTTCACCAACTGTTCCCTTGCCCCGCCCCCTCAGGTGTCCCCGAGTTCAGGCCACTGAAGCGGTACCGTGTATGTGACACAGTAAGAGGTAACACTAATCTGGCTCATCGAGCTCGCTCCGCAATCAGAAACGTCAGCATCGCGCAGGAGCAGAGTGTCGATCATAAACGATAGGCTACCGACTCTGGGATCGGTACGATCAGACTGATCAGGTACTTTCAATGGTCACCGCTGCATGTTTTGTGAGACCACAGTCTCACCAAATGTTTTGTATGAATGTGGTAGTCCATATATGGGATGTGGTTGTTTGACTCCATGCTTGTAGTGAATGTTAGCATATGTATATGTTACCAACGAGAAACTGTAAGCCGAGATGAGGAAAAGTAACGCACAGACTCAACAAAAGCTCAGTAGCGAGAAAACTGGTTCTTTTTTCGCCTCGGGCAAAATTAGAATCACACGGTGTTTTATGTTGGGGCTGAAATACGTAGGTTCCAGTGTCAGGACGGGAGGAGTTTTTTTTTTGGAGGAAAAGGATCGCTACCAGTTGAAATACAGTTTTCAGCTAGCTCACTCTACCATGATCAGAACGCGGCTACCCCGGCTTTACTTCTAGAGGCGATTAAATACATTGCGCGATCTCTACAACCATTTAAGAAACACGCCCTCATGCTGGCAGAGTGTCGTGGGTTCACATCCCACCGCAGGGCAA